CCCATCAGAGCACCAGACCTCTCTGATCACACCTCCCAGGGCTCCCAGGCCAGTGAAACTGACCTTTGGCCCCCCAGCCTTATAGGGGAGCTAGGATCCAATCATGGATCATGTGGCTATGCCCAGCATAGGCTTCGCCTTGCCCCCCTGTGACTTCTTCTGCTATAAGACTTGGGGTATCAACCCCAGGGAGCTTCTTAAAAGCAGTGAATGAGGACCAGCAGGTGGTTTGGTGGTTAAAAGTGCCAGACTCCCACATGGCCAACCACGATTCAAGTCCCAGACCTGGCAGCTTGCTTTCTCACTTTATTTCTCTCTCTCTGGTCATTTTTTTTTTTAAATAAAGTTAAATAAAATAATTCTTAAAAAAATAAAAAGAAGTAAATAATCCTACTCGCGCTCCCAACTCCGGTCACACCCCACTCTGTGCGGGTCACAAGCTGAATTCCGAGGTACTCTTGGGGTGGAGGCAGGGGGGAAGGGTATTTCCTGGAGCCTTTGTGTTGTAGCATTCTCATCTCAAAAATGGGGCCAGGAGTATTTTCCCTGTCTATTTCACCTGGCTATTGGGACGACTCGCGTGCTTGAACTGAAAACTATATACACGTGCTTAAGGCATTACTATTAGCCTGGCGGGCATTCTAGTGGGTTTAAGGCTGCTCTAGTTCTCTTACGCGTCCTCGGACAGAAGGGCAACAGAAAGTTACTCTTTATCCCAGTTTCTCCTGGAGCCCACTCTGGGAGCAAGCGGTGTTGCTCCTCAGCGAGGGGTGGACCACCGGCCGCCCCTCTCGCCCCTCTCTCATTGGCTTTCACTTGCCAGAGGGTCGGTTGCGACAGGCCTCTCGGCCAGTCAATCAGGCCCACCAGGCTCCGCCCCGCCCTTCCCGGGGCTTTATAACGGGAATTCCCATGGCCCGGACTCCGGCATCCAACCTGCTGCGGCCGTGGCCCAGTCGAAGCGGAGCTGGCGCCGCGAGCAGACCACACGCTCGCGCCTTAGCTGCCCTCGGTCCCGGTGCATGACCGTGTCCTCCGGTCGCAGCCTCCTCCAGCTCCCTGTGCAGGACCGCAGTTCGCTCCCGGCTGCCGCCAGGGCCCAGAACGAAAGAAGACGGGAAGGCAGGCGCGGTGTGCGTCCTGCAGAGCCCGGGACCCCTGCCCGCTGCCGGCTGCCCAGTCCGGCTGGCACCATGCTGC